CTTAATTACTTTCCCTGAATAAAAGCCTTCAATTCCATCACCTTCCCACTAGAATACAGCTCCCTGAATCTCTTCAAGCCCTTTCCAAATTATCTTCCCAAGCACAAACTTCCCAAGGCAAAGCCAAGCCCAGGTTGCTGCATCAATCCACAAGGCAGCTCTGATTGCAAAGGCAATTCTCTTTCAGAAGGTGCAAAAAGCAACCTGGAGAGGAAGGGAAATGKGACACTGAGCCCAGAGAAGCTGTGGCTGCCCCTGGATCCCTGGAATTGTCCAAGGCCAGGCTGGACAGGGCTTGGAGCACCCTGGGATGGTGGAAGGGGTCCCTGCCCACGCCATCCCATGACATCCTTTGTTGTCCCTTCCAACCCAAACCATCTAAGATTCAACAATAACATTTCAACATTTCCTGGAGGCTGGAAATCATCCTTTCTGGAAAGGTTTGGAAAGGTGTTGGTGTGTGCTGAATAATTTTAACCTAGAATAGTGATATTATTCTACAGGCTGCAATATTATGGATATACTAATTTAGTTCCAATTTGAATAGGAAGGAATTTGGTTTGCTTGATTTGAGTKTTTCAACATCTCTGAAAGATGTTAATTTTCCCCATTAGTTACTCTTTTATTCATTAGCATTAAGAAAGAGGCGAGGAGTAAAAATAGGTTGACAACAAAAAAAAAGAGAAAAATCAGAAAACCAAACTAGAAAGTCTCTTGTATCTTTAGAAGAATCAAAATATACTTAATTATTTTTTGTTAATAATTTTTTGGGGGGTTGAAAAATAGCAATGCAATTAAAACCTATTGACCAAGCTCTATTTTGAGCCCCCCTTTTTGCCTTTGGGGTAAACCAAATAAAGCAGGTACATCCACGCACTGTCTCCSTTCAAAGAACGCTGTTCTGACAGAGCTCGGTGTGAAGATGAGTGTGACTCAATATCTGCATCACTGATGGTGCTGATATGGAGTGATTCTAAAATATGAATTGTGAGGCAGACCCCATGCTGGAATATGTCATTTAACATCCTGTGTTTGCCAGAATAACACAGACAGACCGAGTCACTGAGCTTGCTCATCCCCTAAAGGGTCCCCAGGAAGGAAACTCTCACCTGGATCCGAAAGAACTCGGGGAAAGGGAGAGTTCTGCCATCCACCTACACACACAGCCACCCACAAACCTTCCTGATTCACAGCTTCCCATGGCTTTCTGCTTCTTCTGGCTTGATTTGATTTCCTCARCTGCCCTAAGAGTCCTTAAAAACCCATCCAGCAGTGCCAGGAGCACCAGCCGTGTGCCTCCAGACCCGATGTTTCTTTAATTCTGTGAAGCAAAGCAGCAGCGACAGCCCGAGCGTGAATAATTCACCAGGAGGGCTCTGGGGAGCAGCTGTGGAGCTGTCCTGGCAATCTCAGCTCAAGGTGAAGCCGTGGAGAGTTCCTCTCCCCACATCCCCAGAGTGGTGGCCATAGGAACCATCTGGCTGGCCAGGAATTCCCAGTTAATCCCAGTGTGCTGCACTTGGGACCTGCTGGAGAGGAAAGAGCCAGGCAAGGATCCGCTGGTGATGGTTTTTGTCTGGGACTACGGAAAGCAGCGGCTGAAGAAAATTAATTTTTGGGCAGTGAAGGTGACAGGGAAGGTGTAAAGGTCACCTCTGATACCTCCAAGAGGGACAGAGCTGAAGAGAGACCAAAGTCAGCTCCCACAAGGCCCTGAAGGGCTTCCGTGTCCTCCTTGCACTCTGTGGTCTCAGAGTTTGTTCTGACTCAACATTCCACCCCAGAATTCCATCCCAGGATTCTATCCCAGGATTTTATTYCAGGATCCCATCCCCTGGGGAAATGGGAATGACAGTGCAGAACCAGCTGGGGTTAACCCTCGACAGATGCCCAGCAGATTCTTTCCTCCTGATTTGAACAAAATGATGTTGTTTGATGGGTCCATCGTGCTCCCTCAGGTGCACAGGATAAATAAACCCAGGGGTGTTCAGCAAACCTCCCCTGCTGCAGGGATCAGCAGCAGGGGAATTGGTTATGCAAAATTAGTTTTTAGTAGAATTAGTTATGTAAATCACTCAGGCCTTCAGAACACAAAATGCACACCCAGACTCAAATCACTCACAAAAAAAAAAGAAAACTTCAGCTTCTGCCTGAAATCTGCCAAGGTTTTCCCCTTGATTGTGGACTTTCCCCCAAATCTGACCTTCCATGTTCCATCCCAGCTTCCCTGAACTGTTTCATTCTGCCTCCCATTATTTCACATCTATCGCCGAGGGAGAATCCTCTTTTCCCTGCTGCCATCCCTAATCCTTTTTCTCCAGGCACAAATTTCCTCCCCCACTGTTCACCCGGGCTTGTCACCACTGCCAGACCTCCATCACAGCAGGGAATTACTCAGGAGCAGAGCTCTGCAATCCTGGGGACACCTCAGCTGGCTGCAGGGATAACAGCACGCTGTGCTTTGATAAACCCACGGCCTCCTGCATTGAAAGCAGGAAAAACCCTGGATTTCCCAATCCTTGTGCAGCTGGGAGTCTGGCAGGGTTCATTCGAGCCCAGGAGTGTGGGAAGAGGAGTCAGGAATCACCCTGATGCCGAGTGGGGSTGAGATTTCCCTTTACCACTGTCACAGAGCACCTGCCTCTCCCATATCACCAGGTTTCCCCATTTTTTTTTCTTTATTCTTCCCAGTCTCCCAGCAAGTTTTCCCACATTTTTCTTCACAGTGACTCCCAGCTCACACAGCACCTTCCTGTGKTCCTGCCTGTGCCTGATCTTTAATCTCTCCATGACTGTCACATGGACAGGCCTGGATGGGGATGCCAGGGGACCCCTCTCAGCAGGGCTGGTGCTTCCTACCCAAAGAGGAACCTTGCTGAGGTCCTGCTGCCATAAAGCAGCAGCAAAACCTTCATCTTCTCCCTCATTTCCTTCGTCTACCTCTTTAGAGAGGGTAAAAACCTCTTCAGAGAGGGTAAAAACCCCTTCAGAGWGGGYAAAAAYCTCTTCAGAGWGGGTAAAAASCYCTTCAGAGAGGGTAAAAACCCCTTCAGAGAGGGTAAAAACCTCTTCAGAGAGGGTAAAAACCYCTTCAGAGAGGGCAAAAATCTCTTCAGAGAGGGTAAAAACCCCTTCGGAGAAGGTAAAACCSTCCAAGAAGGGGTTGCCTTTAGGCTTTTCTCACAGAAAAGGTTGGGAAATCCCTCTGAGATAAGTTCAGCCATCAACCCAACATCACCACGACGTTCACCACTGAACCACGTCCTCAAATGCCACATCCACACATTTTTTTGAGCATTTTTAGGGGTGGACTCTGGAAAAAAGGCAGACCCTCATCCCCCCAGGRTGAGGAGCTGTGTTCTGCAGGCAGGGAGCTCTCAGAACAGACCTGGCTCCGCATCCCGATCCGCTCCTCCGCGCTCTTTGACGGCTCCATCAGCCCTTTAAAGCCTGGCTTTTGAAAAGCAAACAAAGCAGAGCTGAAGCGAGAGAGGCTTTCCCGCAGCGTGCCAAGCTCTGGCAGCGTGCAGGGCTGAGCAGCTGCTGCTGCTGGAGATGCTCAGCTCCGGAGGGCTCGGAGGCAGCGCTGCCCGAGCATCCATCCAGCACTCGCACACGTGTACAGGCACTCACAGAGCCCCAGCGGCTGTGCTGCGGGGTGTCTTTTGCCTTCTTATTGTGCGGGGATTAAAGCTCGGCTGCCTTGATCAGAAAGCTGTSCTGATTGCTCACAAACTCTCAGCCTCCCCGGTTAAAACTGATTTAAAGAGACAGGAAAAGCAACGAGAGAACAGCTCCCGCTCCGTGCTTTAGAACAAACTTCATTTTGGCACCTAATTATGTGCGAGGCAGGCTCGTTCCCATTTCCTTTGCCAAGCTGCTCTTTAGTTTTGATCTCACAGGATGCTCACCCTCTCAGGGAGGGAGGCTTTGATTAGGAGGAAGCAAAARCTGTCGGAGAGGGGAAAAGCTGAGTGAACAGAGAATCCACGRTGCTGCCTCTGCCCCTCACCTGCTCTGTGACCTCGGGCATGTGGCACTGGCAACTGGGCTTTGATTTCCCCGCTTTTAAAGGAGGAGGGGAAGCAACCCGTGTCCTCCTCCGCATCCTATTCGGAGACAACGAACTGCAAAGTGCCGAACCAGAGCAGTAAAACCACTCCCGTAGGCTAATGACAGCTCCAGAGGAGCAGATATATCCATTTCCCCCATCTCCTTAAGCACAGCTAATGAAGAGAAAAGAAAACCCCTGCCCCGGCTGAGAGCGAGCAGAAAGAGATGCCCCCAAATGTAGAGAAACACGCCGGAGCGCAGGAATTCGGTTACAGGGCTGTTTGCAAATTAATGGCTAAATCAATTAAAGGAAAGCATGGGATTTCTCTTGAGGAAAGTCTGGTCACAGTCGCAAGGAGAAGGGGAGGGGTTGTGGAGCCGGGATGACATAATCACGCTTGCGAATCACCAGCAGTGTGTGCACGCTTTAATCCATTAATGGGGTTTTTTATCTGTGATCATAAAAAGCAGGTTACATTCAGCCTGGAAGGGAGTGAGGGTTGGAGGAGAGGGGAGGGGAGAGAAAGACACAGAGGCAGAGAGAGAGGCAGAAAGCGAGGGAGGAAGAGAGCACAATTCACTCGGTGGATCGCCTGCCAGCTTGGGGCTGATAATTAGGGATCTCAGGAGAGCAGCTTCTCAGAATAGCGCGCTCTCCTTGCGATGGACCGACTGGAGACAGTGGTTCAGCCCTGCTGATATTTTTTTTTAAGCCCTCCTCGCAGTTTGATGGGCATTCCCAGTGCTTTTGTGCACGTCTCGGGAAGCGTTGACGTGGAAAGGAGCAGCGAGGAGGGGGAGGTTGGAGGAGAAAGCCGCAGCTCCTCGAAAAACACGGAGGGCATGCCCGGGAGCCAGCGGGCTGGCGACAAAGGCCAGGGCACCATGGTCCCCCGGCGGYGGCGAGGCGCAGTTTCGGACATGTCCCTGCTGTGACCGATGGCACCATGAGCATCTGGGAGCTGCTGCTGGCTTTCGTGGTGGTGGTGCTGATGCTCGTGGCCCTGCTGGCCAACGTGCTGGTGCTGATGTGCTTCCTGCACAGCGCAGACATCCGCAAGCAGGTGCCGGGCTTGTTCATCCTCAACCTCACCTTCTGCAACCTGTTGATGGCCGTGTCCAGCATGCCGCTGACCTTGGCMGGGATCATTTACAAGAGCCAGCCGGGAGGGGATGAGGTTTGCCACGCCGTGGGCTTCCTGGAGACTTTCCTGACCACCAGCTCCATGCTGAGCATGGCAGCGCTGAGCATTGACCGCTGGATCGCCGTGGTTTTCCCGCTGAGCTATCACTCCAAAATGCGGTTCCGCGACGCCGCTCTCATCCTCGGCTACACGTGGGTGCACTCGGCGTCCTTCCCCATCGTGGCAGCTTCCCTCTCCTGGCTGGGTTTCCATCACCTCTACGCCTCCTGCACGCTCTACAACAAGAGGCCGGAGGACAGGACACAGTTTGTGATTTTCACGGGGGTCTTTCACGCCCTCAGCTTCCTCCTGTCGCTCGTAGTGCTGTGTTTCACATATCTCAAAGTGCTCAAGGTGGCACGGTTCCACTGCAAGMGGATCGACGTGATCACCATGCAGACCCTGGTGCTGCTCGTGGACATCCACCCCAGGTGAGGTTCGTGGTGACAGGAGAAGTGAGGAGGGGGCTCGGTGCCACGCTAAACACGGACTAATCTGTCCCACAGCAGGTGATGGGAAGGGGGAGAACACCAGCATCCTCCCGGCCGGTTTCTGTTCTGCATGTTTCTTTTCACGTGGGTTTAATTCCCTGAGGGCAGAGCTCGTTTTTTTGTTAGGTTTAAGGACTCGTTTTGGGAGGGAGAGTAAGGAAACAGGCTTGGCTGAGCATGCCCTTCCCTTTGAGACGGTGATCAGATCACTGCCCTTTGTCTCCCAAGGGGGATTTAGTGGTTGCTAAGTCCATTTTTTGGGCACTGTCAGCCCAAAACGTTGCTGGATCCCTGCGAGGGAGGAGGCTGCACATGTCCCTTGGAGTTGGGAAGGAAAGCTGAGCGCTGCCTGCTTTTCCCAGCAGCATCCCCACTGCTGTGCTCTCCGTAACTTTGTCATTCCCGAAGGCAGAATCCTCCGGGAATCCGCAAAATTCACGCGCTCGAATGCCTGTACTTAAATCTTCAGGGAGAGAGAATTCAGCAGCGATGATAATGTGACAAACAAGGGGTGTAGAAAGCTCATGGCAAACGAGGGGCTTTAGGCAAATCCCTTGTGCCCAAACACGGGAGGAGAGGAGTCCCCCGGGGCTGGGGGGGATCATGGGCTGCCAGGCAAGCAGCAAACGGGGAGAGCAATGTGTGCCAAAGTCACGCCAGGGATTGTTCACAAACCATAAATCCTGCGTGAATAATCAGTGTRTGGATCTGGAAGGGATGTGTGAGGCGGGGAAGGAATCTGCTTGCAGGAGAGGGGAGCAGGGAGCACAGAGAGGGCAGTCCCACGCCACACATCCCGTCTGTCCATCCTTTTGTCCCTTTTGCTCCACGAGCAGCTGCCCCTCGGTTTGCAGCACAGCTCAGGGCTCCCAGCACATGGAGCTGTCCTCAAAAACAGGTCATGTTCGGGGGATGCCTGAGGCTGGGATAAATAAATCTGGAGGGATCAGAGCAGGGCAGCACATTTTAGAGGAGCAGAAACATTTGCTCAGAATTCTCCTGTTAAGCTATCAGAGCTCTCTCTCTCTCAACCAAGAATGCAGAGCAGAAATTTGGGAAAGTCTTGAGAAATACAGGTATAAATCTTCCCTTATTCASCGAGTGAGGGAAAAACACCCTCCCACCCTGAGTGCTGTCTCGACTGCCTTAGTTCCTGCAGCATGAGGACATGTGGTGGTTACTCCCGGGAAAGTTCCATAAACCCACCAGGGCTGTTAAAAACTGCATTCATTTTGCCTAATGCTAAAAGTATGCCTGGACTGCGCAGCAGAGTTTAGTAAAAGGGCAAAAATCTCAATGTTATTCCTCCTCCTCTGCATTTTTTTTTTTCTGGTTGAGGTTGATTTGAGGGTGTTTGTGCTGTGATGCTCACGCTGAGGGATGGATTCAGTGGGGCTGTGGGGATGGTGCTTCCTTTTTTTTGGGAAAGACATCTGTACAGGCATTTTGCTGTGAGGAACCTGCACCTGGCTCTGGTATCAGGTTATTCTAATGCCTCTCTCTAAGAAAGGAGAGTTTTATGATTATGATTATTATTATTATTATTATGCCTCTCTCTAAGAAAGGAGAGTTTTAGGTTGAGGTTGTTTTAGGGAGAAGTAGTTTAGGTTGAGATAGTTTCAGGGAGACACCACTGATCTCCTGAAGATCATTTAAGATGAGCACAAAGGGAACCTCCAAATACCACACAAATTTATGTGAATGTTTGGGGCACATGTYCTTTCAAGTTAGCTTAGGATTTTTTAGTGGATCCTGCTTTTTCTTTGTTCTTAAGACCAAAATTTCTTGGGTATTGTGGGAGATTTGAGTAAAACTTTATCTAAGTMCTTAACCCATGTATTTCTTCACTCAAATTATCCATATTATCTTTTTGGTGTRTCCAGCTGTACCCATCTTAAGATCCAGTATCTCATAAACTTKGTTTAAAATACCAAACCTTCAAAGGGATACATCTCAGATTCCCCAGGATATTAAAATCTTTAAACAAAAGCTTAGTCAATAATCCTGTTCTATTACTGATGTCATTCTGGAACTCATGTATGTCTTATCTTCGTGCATGAAAGTGTGTGCAAAAGCAAAATATTCATCTGTGTACTTTGCATGAAGGAGAGAGATAAAATACCTTCCTCTGTGATGTGGAATTTATTGGATACATCTGGAAAGGCTGAACAAAAGAAATGGGTTTAAGTCTAGCAGGACAGTCATGGGTGAGCTCCAGGAGAGAGAGACAGCTTTGCATGTGCAAGGAAAAGATGTAACTGGGGAAACAGAGACAAAAAATACACCAAAATCTCCTCCCCAACATTACCTTAACTGAACCTGCTTTGGAGATTCGCTTTCCTACRTTAYCATGGGCTKGGGATACTATAAATTTAGGAACACRGGTCTTAAATGAAGCTCATGAAATTCTAAGATGATTTTTCTGCATATAAAAATAGTCCAAATTCCCCAGCTCTTGCAGAATTTAAAGCACACAGGTTCCCTTGGAAAGGTGGATTTTTTTTTTCCTTTACAGCTGTCATTTCTAGCTGCAAATAACTCACACATAGAACACGTAACACCTTTAAATGTGGCAATATTCTTTAAGAGAACGACAATTTGTTAGGAGAACAAACTTTTCYTCCAGTATTTATTTCATCACATGGTGATAGCTGCTCTGGGGACTGGCAGTGTAAGACAAAAWGTAGAGTGGAACAAAAGAAACACCTTTTCTTTGGCACAACCAGAGAGGAACATAAAAACTCATTGGCACAGAGATGACTGAAACACACTGAGATCYTCAGGACATAACACGTGTTTGGATGTTGATAAAACATTTGCAGATGAAGTAAATAATGTAAGGGTATGAGGCCATGAGCCTCAGGGCTGTGAGAGTGAGTCATCAATTAAAAATTTACAACAAATCTGGGAAGAGCAATGCCAAACTGTTGGGTTTTAAATAAATAAAAAAAAGATCTATAAATTCAGGACAAATTGAGTGTGCTTGAGGAGTGGCTGTGCCACTATGAGATCTGTGCAAGGAGCAAACAAGAGGGGCTCAGGATGGCAGAATGACTCTGGCTGTGCCCTTTCCAAAGGGATTTGTTGAGGTGCAGGCAGTCCTGGCACTGTGGGAAGTACTGCCCATCCAATCCCCCTGGAGCAGACAGGAACTCACCCATTTCCCTCAGAAAGCACAGGGAGCACAGGAGTCACTCAGACAGAGAGGAAGAGGATGAGCTTCCACATTAATCACTGTTTTCATGAGCAATTGTGATGATTTCAGAGATTTTTTTGCAGTGAAAGCAAGGTCCCAGCCCTGTGCTCCTCAATGGCACACCGAGGGAATTCAGAACTCTCGTGCTCTGCTGAAACCACCAAAGGGAAACTCAAAGGGGAAGCTCTTGCCCTGAAATGCCATAGATAGGAAAAACCCTTCAGTGTCACTATTCTGCACCTGTATAGTCAGAAATGGAGCTGGTTTGAGGTGAGGAATGAGGATATCCCAGCACTGTGGATTTGTTAAACAGTTCCAGCCTTGCAGAGCGTTCAGCATGGGCTGATAGAATATTTATTGGGACTGTGGGACACAGAGATTGCTCCCATGTTGGTCTGAAGGTCCTGAGCATTTTTTCCCATTATGATTTTGTTGTTTTGTGCCTTATCTTGCTGGGAAGTTTCTCCTCTCCGAGCTGTGGTGTTGGAATAGCCGTTTCCAGGGAAGCAACGTGCTGCCCATCCCACTCTGGGTATTTTCCAAATCCTCTGAGTATCCTCTTGCCTGCAAATACAGCTTACAGCAGTTCAAAAAGGAGCTGCAAACTGAACTCAGGGATGAAGTCCACCAATTTTGCTACAGATCAACTGATATAAAAGGGTTGGATGCACATAAATTTACAATCAGTGACTTTGTGGAGGGTAAGATGATAAGAAAACACACTAATACCTGGTATTGTCCCACATAAATGCAGCGGTATTGGCTTGGAATTATAACAGATTCTGGAAGGATTGTTTTCCATCATTCCATGGTGATTCCATTTCAAAATTGCTGCCTGATCCTCTGATGGAAGTTTTTGTTTGTGTTGTCTCACAGCGTGCGAGAACGTTGTCTCGAAGAGCAGCGGAGGCGGAGGCAGCGAGCGACCAAGAAAATCAGCACCTTCATCGGTACTTTCATACTTTGCTTTGCACCTTACGTAATCACCAGGTGAGTGGGACCCCAAACCCTGCTGGGAGGCACTCCTGGCTCAGGGATGAGGGGCACTCTGAGCTGGAATGGGATTCCAGTCTCCTGGGAAAATCTGATGCGCCAGTTCCGCTGCTGTGACAGAGATCGCATTGCTGGGTGCACAGAGTTTTGCAGGACTCTTGCAGGACACTCCCAGGACATTTGCAGAGCTCTCACTGGACACTTGCAGGACATTTGCAGAACTCTTGCAGAACATTTGCACGACTTTGCAGGACACTCACAGGATACTCATAAGTCACTCACAGGACATTTGCAGAGCTCTCAATGGACACTTGCAGGACATTTGCAGAACTCTTGCAGGACATTTGCAGGACATTTTCAGGACACTCACAGGACACTCACAGGACTCTTGCAGGACATTTGCAGGGCTGGATGTTCCAAGACACTCACAGGACATTTGCAGGACACTCACAGGACTCTTCCAAGACATTTGCAGGACATTTGCGGGGCTGAGTGTTCCAGGACACTCAAGACATTCACAGGACACTTGCAGGACACTCACAGGAGTTTTGCAGGACTCTTGCAGGACACTCACAGGACATTTGCAGAGCTCTCACAGGACACTTGTAGGACATTTGCAGAACTCTTGCAGAACATTTGCAAGACTTTGCAGGACACTCACAGGATACTCATAGGTCACTCACAGGACACTCATAAGTCACTCCCAGGGCCGGGTGTTCCAGGACACTCATCCCTTGCATCCCTGAGCCTCACAGGCAGGGCTGAGGGTGTGGACATGGAGGGGAGTAGCAGAATTTGATTTGAACTGTGTAAGAAGTGTTTTCTGGATGGTGTCCAGYGCTTTGCATTGCCAAGAGAGGAGCAATCCATCACAGTTCAGGGCAGGGAGTGCCCCTCACTCAGCTCCAAGCAGCAAAAACTTCAATTAAACTCCCTTTTTAATACTCCCTGAATTGGGGGCTGACAGCAGCAAATCACAAGGTTTTGCTGTGACATCTTCCTGTTTCCACAGTGAAAATAAACTCCTGTCTCTAGGAGTTCCACAAACCAGGGAAGGAGCTGTGCTCATCACCCTGGGCAGATAAATGCTCCTCTGGATAAACCAGAGTTTTTCAGACCTCACTGAGGTAAAAATCAGATCAGGCACTTCTTTTATCCAGGAAACCCTCTTTTAATTTGTTCAGTGGACGGCCTTAAGTGATGTATCAGATTCTGATTGTCCTTGATCCAGTGTGACAGGGGTGTTCCCCCATATKATATATTTCTAAGCATAGTTTGCTTCTTGTTTTGTAAAATAACCTATTGGTGCACATCTCTTCCTTTGCTACATTCATCACAATCTAATTAAATATACTTGYTCCAAACCTCTTTTCTCCAAGGATCTTTTTCATAAGAAAAATGAAGATAAGTCATATCAGTTTTCTAATATTAATTTCCAACTCCAGGCGTTTCACACCGAAATACAGAACTTTGCTCATGTAAGTTAATAAGTGCTGTCGATGTGTGAGGAAATTGGCCTTAAATTAAAAATGCTGAAGTAAYAGCAGGCAGAAGTTCATAGTCCTGAGCCCTCAGGTCACAGAGGATGGTGGAACAGAGAGAAGAAAATTAAAATTCTGTTCTATCATCTCTGGGGGGCAGAGGGTAGGCAAACCCTGGTTTTAAACCCTTTGTCCCCTGTATATGCAGATCCTCAGAATTCTTCTGTAACTTGRGTTCCTCGGCCTCATAGCTGAATGGAAACACGTTCAGGAAAATATTTTAGTGCAGTGATTGCACMTGTAAATAAAGGATTTCCAGTGTGYATTATGTGTGTAGATCAAGGCCATGTTCTTCAACATRGCATTCTCATTTGTTTACTGAAGGGGAAATAAAATAATTGGACAGCCACGTGACGATGACACTCCACAGAATTATAAGTTTCTAAAATATGAATAAAATTGCACAAAAAAAAGAGCTTACAGCTTTGAAATAAAAAAGGTTTGAAGACCAGACAGTAGAAGAGAGGCTTTTGGAAGCGAGCCAGGGAATAATGTAGTTGATACTGTAAAATTTAATTTACAGGTAGCACTGAAATATTAATGTTCCTTCACTGAAAATGTCTTCTTTTAGGCTGAAGCATTTCATGAAAATGGAAGCTATGCATATAATTTCCCTCACAAATGAGAAACAAAGCCTTTCAAAGGCAATAAATTGTGTGATATGCCTTGAAAGGCTGGCATTTAATTGTTTGTACATGAAATGGAAATGCATAGCTCAGGGTTTGACTGCGTTTCCCTGTTTGCTGCTTGATAACTGCAGATGTAATTTACTGTAAAAAAATTTTACGTGAGAATTGAAAAATGTGTAAATGTCAAGGAAGCTGGTGGAACTCAAGGAAAATATTTAAGATTTTGTTAATAAAAGTGTAGGCTTTTCATTTGATCAGTCAATGAAGGTAAAATTAGCAAGCCTAGGCTTGCAACCCTGAAGTGTCTGTTTGATGTGCTTTAAATGGAGATTGTTAATGTCACACAGAACTGACTGACAGAGCCTCAGACACAAATTTGTCATATTTTGGTTATTCAAGGCATCCTCTGAATTTAATTAAACCTAATCAAATTCACATCTGTAAGGCACTCAGTAAAAATAAATCATCCAAATGAAACTCAGCATGATGAGATTCAAAAACGTGAAGGAGGCATCAAATAAATGAAGTGGAGAACAACAAGGATGCCTCACGGTAGATTACAAAGTAAATATGACTTGGTAGATGATTAATTTCCAAATTGTCAATTCTCACTTGAGAACACATTAACGTGGATGTCATAAACTGCATTTTTTTTAAAGAAGGGAGAATACAGCAGATGAGACCACCTGGAAACTTGAGCAGATGAAAATTTTGTTTCACTTCTGAGATTTGTAGGAAAGATAACCACCATGGGTTACAAGGAGAGATTGAAGGAACATTTGTTTCGTTGAGATGAAAGGAGAGGGAAATGGGGCAGATGGGGGTTCTTTGGGGACTCAGAACTGCTGAGCCAAGCAGGAGTGGCACAAACAATTCCCAAGGATTTGGATGCACCATTCCCTGGTCTCCTGAAATACATCTCACATCAACTCGACTGTGTCATTTGCCAGAATTACTTTAAACAACATCTTGTAGCGAAAGGTTATGGAACAAGAATAAAATGACTGAGGGGGAAAAATCYTCATCTCTAAACTGCTTGAAGTACCAACATTATTGTCATGGCTGCTGCAGGAACCACCCATCCAAATTCTCCTTGGAAATGGTGCTTTGTCTGGATGAGCAATTRAATATTTCCAGGCAGATTTAAGAACATCTGCTGCTGCAGACAGGTTCAGCAAAGATCTGATTTGCCATGTGGGGCTCTGTCACAGCACATGTGGCTGTTTGGAAATGTGTTATGTGTTGGAAATCAATAGTTTCTATCAGCTATGGAGGCACATTGAGCAGAGCTGCCCTTAGGTGCTGCTCACAGACATGGGCAGTTATCAATATTTCACTGTCAAAAATGCTCTCCCTCAGTGCACAGTGAATATTCTGGGCTGGTGCAGGTATGAGCAGCATGTGAAACTCACCTCTTGTCCTCCCCTAATGATTTAAAAGTTTTGTCTTGCTAAATTTGTTGCAGATGTAAACCTAAACCCTTGCCCTTTGCACTGGTCAGTTTTTGAATTCAAGATACAATATACCATCTGCCAGTGATGAATTTTCCTTGTGGCTCAGACAAAATGTTCAAAAGCATCAAACTCTCTCCAGGAGCTGGGCTGGCCAGGAGAGCTGCCCAGCACTGCTGAGGTGGCTCAGATCCCCTGGAGGGGACCTAGAGCCACGAGTTCAGCCTGGATCTAAACATTCTGGATGTTTAGATCTCAAATTCTGCAGGAGTATGACTCCATGAGACCAAGCCATGGCATTTGGGCAAACACACCTCAAATTTATATTTGCAGTCTTTAAAATTTATAAGAGGAGGACAACATGCACATTTCCACTAACATGGCTTTCTTTTCTTTAGTTTTGTTGCAATTGYCCAGCAATAATTTGAGGATTTGGGGTGGATTAATGGCTTAGAGTGATTTTTAATGTTCACACTTTTACTCTCTCTCTTTTCCCAGACTTGTTGAGTTATCCTCTGCAGTCCACATCAACTCCCACTGGGGGATCATTTCCAAGTGCTTAGCTTACAGCAAAGCTGTTTCGGACCCTTTTGTGTACTCTTTGCTGCGGCACCAGTACAAGAAGACGTGGAAGGACATCATCAACAAAGTGCTCAAGAGGAGCTCCATCAACTCCTCGGCGCTGGCGGGAGAGGCGCAGCCCCGGAACGTTCCGCCGCTGAGCGAATGAGGAGCCTGGTATGGGATGAGAAAAGGGATTTTTGTGAAACAAAACTAACTGGCCCATCCCTCGTAGCTCTCCTCAGCTGCCCAGATTTTGGGAGGTGGCTGGGGACAGGGTGAAGCCTGTAGCCCTCCAGTAGTCCGTGCCTCCGGCTGGAAGAGCGYAATTGATCCGTGCTGCTGCTGCAGGCTCCACAAATACAAATCTCCCATTGATTTCCATCAGCAGCTGCATCTGTAGATAAAAAAAAACCCCAGTCCTCAGCAGAGGGGCTGGTGAAAGTAATGGGAGCAAGCTGGTGACGTGGTAAGATTATCCTGAAAAGCTGCCCAGGGAATGTTTGTGCTGTGTTTGTCACTGAAAGTGAAGCTCCCTCTGATGCAGCTGCCAACGTGGCTTTACAAAAACCACCCCACCCGAGCTGCTGGAGAAGGTTCTGGGTGGAAAATACCTTTATGGGAAAAGCTTTAAAAAAAAAAAAATCTGAATATTCATCCAGAGCCCTGCACAGTCCAGCTTTTTCTGATATATATTCTTGGAGCAATCCTGTAGAACTGAAGCAAGAGAAAAAACTCTTTTGAAGTAAGTTACAGGCTGGATTCAGCCACGTCTTCTCTAAATTTTAAAAGTAATTTACACAGAATCCCACTAATATCCTCCCCATTAAATTTCAGGCAAATGCAAATGGTAGACAGGGTGGAAAGGTCAGGATGCCTCCTGCCACCCTTCCATACATCTGAGCTCTGAAGAGCTGGATTTTGCCCAAAGCTGCAGATCTGGGCCCTGTGCCCAGGAAGAAAAACAAATCTCTTTTTCTGAGGAGTTATTAATCATGTTCTTTTCCCCACTTAAAGGAAAGATGAGCYTAAATCTGAGTTTCGAGTGCAATTTCCAAAGCAAGTGGAGCACAAATAATGGGCTCCCTCTCCACCATGAAAGTGGAGCCAATAATCTGAATCCACATCTGAGCGTGCAAATCCCTGGAGGTTTCAGCACCAATCTTTGTAGCTCTGGATCACAGTTATGCATAGGAACATTATTAACATTTACCATGCACTCAGATGCATGCCCAGATTTTAAAATAAGCTTGGTTAATTAGGCTTCRTGAATGGCAGCTTAAATAACAGCTGGCACAGCTGGCTGTGCTGCCATCAATCCRTGCTCATATTCCAACTGTTGATGCCATACTGAGGAAATAAGGCCCCAAGCAGTGAAAATGTGGRATTGGTTTTTAGTTGCAACTTTCTCTCACAAGAAAAGGGCTTCGTGTGTTGCAAAAAATGTCCACTGTTGAATTTTCTGGCCTCTGCTTCGAAGCCCAGACTGGGAACTCAGTGAGGGGTTTCACCCCAAAATCAGTGAATGTGGGGTAACACCCCAGTTGTTATCTGAAGATTATCAGCCACCATGCACGTAAAAATTTTCAGCTTAATAATTAATTTCAGTTATAAAAAAATACCATAATTGCAACAAAATCCACGCATAATTATAGCCACAGAATTTAAGTAAGGTTTTACAGCACTGCATTCAAATGAGCCCTTAGGCAGATTGAATAGTCTACCTCATTTTAATCATTTTGCTTCTTTGGCTCAACATAATTTTCTCAGGTGCAAARGATAAAAACACCCAGTTCAATATTTGTTTCTTAAGAAATTCAAGACATGTTGATGATTGGATTGTATTAGAACACAGGATGTTAGAGAGTTGATTATTGCCGAGTTAAAAAAAGTGAAAATCTCCATATTGAGCGTGTTTGACTAAGATCACTTTTACTAAATTGCARCAGGAAAAGTCCACAGCTTTTGTGAACTTACACATGGAGCTGATGGCAAAGTCGATGGGAGGTTTGTATGTCGATAAGGGCAGCTCCAGAAACATTTAAACCTTCAAATTCAAAGAGAGTGAGATAATTTCCCAGGGAGAAAAAAAACCAAAAAAAAAACCCACAAAAACATAATACATTTAGGATGTCTAGTAAAAGATGGAGAACACAGCACTGGACTTGTCTCATTATGCTTGTGTATCACAGTCAGTCAYTGGCTGATTGATATCCCACCATGAGCAATAAATCTCTCCCCTCGTATGTGTTTAAAAATTTGTCTCTCTTTCATGGTGCCTTTCTTCTATAATTAATCTCCTYACAGAGAATAGATATAATTTCCCCTTCCTTGCATCAGCTCTCTGTCATTTTGTGRCCATCTGAAGCAAGCAGGAGTTGTAAATGCTGGTGTTTGACAAACTGCCTCAGCACACAAAATGAAAATAATACCCCAGCATTTCCCAATGACATTTTATAGGATACTCCAAATAGGATGCCATGGCTTGTTAAGCTAGATATCCAGCTGAATTCTTATAGGCAACTGGCAAAACTTTCTAAAATGTGTGTCTCAGTGATGAATGTAGATCTGAGTAACTATCTGTCTGCTGAGTATTTTATGTACTATACAACTTTGACTYGAGCGAGTTAAATGATGGTAAATGTAATTTATTTATTTATTATCACAGTATTTATTATCTCTGCTCACAAAGCAGAGCTGTTTTCTTGTCTAACACACACGTGTGCAAAGGGGGGGCAGGGAAATTTCCATTTGTTACTTAAATATTTTTGAAAAAGTTTGGCTGCAACATGTGCCCGAAATGTGGAGCTGCATGTGTGAAATCTGGGCAGCTGCTTAGGCAATATGCAGTTTTCTGTTTGTTGCTATCTGTGACCCATCTGCAATATCTGCTCCTCACACGCATGTTCAATTAACATTTCCTTCATMTCTTGTAAATTTGGCAGGCAGAACGGTGGCAGATGATTAAGAGAATGTAGTCCACTGTGTTGTTTTGTGGATTCTGAGCTTTTCCCTCTGTTCATTTTGACGGTTTTTGTATAATTTCAGAGCTCTAAGTGTAAGCTGTGGTCCTGGTTTCTGTTGTGTTCTTGAGCCAGTTTGAATGTGCAAATTTAAGATCTGGGTAATTGSATTTGGCAAAACTTCTGAGAGACTGATAAGGGTTTGTCGAACAATTAATAAGTACCAGGCCTTCTCCTGACATAAATCAAAATAATAATTGGTTGTTGCACCAGAGGATTGGGTCCATGGGATGACTTTATCCAGGTCTCAATGTGTAGGGCCCTGTTTTTGTGGTATTTACAAATGGAAGGGTGTAAACAGGATTTAGGGAGCTCCTTGGTGTGCAAGTGTTCCCTTCCAGTGTTGGGCAAGCACAGCACTAATTGAGTTCTATCCCTGCTCCTCCTCCTTGAGCACATGACCCTCACAACCTCTCTTCAGTAGCCCTAAATCAGACATTTTAGAACTCCCTTTATGTCTGAGAGAAAAAAAAAAACCAAAAAAAACCAAAACCTAGATGTTAAAAATGCTCCAGACAAATCCTGATTTTTGGAGCAGCAGTAGCCACACATCACACGCAGCATCAGGGAGCAGCTGAGGTTGGAAGGAGCCTCTGGAATTCACCTTGTCCAGCCCTCAGAAGGCACATGCCTGCCTCTGGCAGTGATTTAATTTCTCAATTTTGCCAGTGCATCTAGGAAATTATCTTGGTCTGCTTCAGGTCAACAGTAAAATCTTCTGGTGAGGATATTTAAAAAAAAAAAAATTGGGCAGACAATTTAGACTTAAAATAAATAAAAAATAAAAAAAAACCCCAGCCCAGCTGTATTAGGACATCTTTAAGAGGTTCCAGAAGTGAGGCAGGAGTAGTTGTGGGTGGGAGGTTGAAAGTCGGGGAGGTTGGGAAGTACAAACTGGCTTTGCTGAAATAATTTGGGATTCCTTGGCTTTTCCCAGTGCCCTGTTCCCACCCTGAGAGCTCTCCAAATCTCTCAGAAATTCACTCATTCCAAAGAAAAAGGTGCAAATCCCTCAGACCTTTGCTGTCACAGGAAGATCCTTTTGGGTTTGGGAGGACTCAAATGATTTTCAGATGGTTTATATGGAAATGACTCACATTGTTTGAAGGACCAGGGAGTCTGATTCTTAAAGTCCAGGAGGTTTAGGTCACTTGCAGAATGTGAGTATTTCTGGACAGCCTAAGGTTTCATGGCTCCCTACCTCTTAATCCTAAATAAAGAAGGCTCTGAATATCTTGCCCCACACATTTTTACATGCACAGTGAATATCCCTGCAACAGCCCTTTGAAAATTGCTTTTCACCACTGTCAGATCTGTCTTCTCCCCATACTCAGTGTTCTTATGATCAAACAAAGCTTAAAAGCAAAGACAGAGACTTCACACCTCTGTCAGCTCATTGTTACTCGACCCTCAAAATCACTGATTTTTTTTTGAGCCTGATCCCAAGGTCATTGTGTGTTTGCTTTGCTGGATTGTGAGGGCTGAGCACAGGCTCCTGTGTCTGCAGAATCAGGGATTATGTCTTTGTAACCTCCCCACACCTGAATAAGTGAGAACAACAACGTTGTAGCCTTAAACCCATTTATTTTTAATTTGCTTTTTATGCTTTCAGCATTCAATRTAGAGAGAATTTTTGATGGATGACTTTTTTTTTAGGAAAAGCATCCTGCTCCAAGAGGCAGCWGTCCCTGCTGGGTGGGGTGTAAAAGTTTACATGGAGAAAAGAGCTGCTGCAGTCTTTGTAAAATGCCAGCTTGTTGAACCCTGTAYTCCTGGTGTGGATGGTGTAAATATGTATTTAGGATTGCTGGTTTTTAAGCAAATACTGCTGATCTGATGAACTGGAGAAGTTGCTGTGGTTTATCAGAAATGTCTGTATTTCTGAGGGGGAGGATTGGCCCTAGAGACTGAAAGTGCCCTTCAGTGCCTGTGYCAAGGAGCAGGAGGGGTGTGACCGGGTGCAGGGGTGCCAATTGTGGAGTAAAATACCATTTTATTTTTTTGAAGGAATGCTGTTTCACATGGTTTCCATATACCCAAAGTCACAAGTCCATATGGCTGATTATTGATAAGTGAAGTCATGTCAGGAGAAGAATTTCCATTTGGAATTATTCCTGAATCATGGAGTGATTTGGGTTGGGAGGGA